CTGGCCTCACCTTCTGCATCCTGCTGCCCCACCATGATGCCTGAAACTCTAATCAAGAGTAGAGCATGTGCCCAACTGTCTTATGAACTTCAATAAATGACCTCATTAGGCCAAAACTTTATTTTCGAGTAGTTTTGATATTTATTTTATTCACTTTTGTACATGCAGTTGTCATGGTCCTCCTTAGTTTCTTATTAACTTGCTCAAAATGGAGTGAAAATATGTTGTTTTGTGCCCTTATTTATTTTGTGCAGTTTTGTACATGCAGTTGTCATGGTCCAGTTACTATGCATGGTTATATGCTCTGAAATACATGTTGCACAGGAAAATACGTTGAATATTGAATTCTAAAAGAAAAAGTGGGTTGTGACTTAATGACCATGGGAAAATGTGGGTCCCAGGGTGAGACCAATTGAGAACCCCTGGTCTAATCATTTTTCCATGACTGTAGTTCATACAATATCATATCATTTTTAACTTCACCCTAAGTTGTACCTAACAACACAAGGGACTAGCTTGGTGGTGTATGAGAAAATTGAATTACACCTAGATTTAAGATGTTCATGCTGGTCATACTGTTTGGAGGACATAAGGTGTCTATACAGACCAGAAATTGGCTTCTGTTTACTCGAAACTTCCCACCTGTAAACACTTCCTGTAGTCTTCTGTGTCCAGCATGTTAATGTGCTCCTGTACTTAAGGCCGTTACCTTGCTTGTACAGTCAACAGCCTCAATATAATGTAGACAATATCATGTAGACTGAGAAGAACAATTATTTTGTAAGAGAGACCTGAGTACAGGAGTGAGAATGAAATGCATGCAGCACTTTATACTTCTTTTACACTTTTCAGCGCATGAAGCCTGCCTCAGCAGACAACACAGAACAGAATTTAGCTTTACTTCGTTTTGCTCTAATGATGCTAGTTCCTGCTTGCTTGTGACATGCCAATATTGGAAAACCCTGAATTCTCCTGAATTAAAGCCAGACTTGCTCCAAGCCCACCCACTTCTCAGCATCCACACATTTTTACTTCGTGCCTCACTAAATTCTGTAAGAGGCACGACTATTTATTTACTGCATTGGCACTAAATACAATTCCTGAGAATTCAATTGTCCAATATAAGACTAAATGTGTAGGGACACATCTAGGATTTCTAGATATTGACTACATACTCTAAATACGTTTATCTTCAAAAGTATGTTTTGAATCTGTCTAGGGAATTGGGGCTGGAGCAAATCTAAACTTGGTTCTTACAACTGATACTCAGCCTTGGCTACATAAGCCTTAATTAGGCAAATAAAATTAACTTAATGTTTGCCCTTTAATTATTTAATAAATTGTGGATGAGAGATTCCTCTGAAATTCTAATTCTTGTGTACAGTTTTCTTAAAGTATTTGGTAAAAATGCTGAATAACAGTGTGTAATTTTTAACATCAGCTGCATGTATTATCAGGGCTTGTAATATGCATTTGGAAAGCATGGTGACATTACTGGTCACTATTTACCTGGTTTTCTTTTAAAGACAGTTACATTGTACATGCTCACAGGCGCTGTGAGAATATTGTACACATAAGTTTGACTAGTTCTAATTAACAGCTGTTCCGCATTTACCTTAAATTAACAGCATACAGTATGATAATAATACAAACTGGCTTAGAAGAGCTAAACTTTATCTTTAAATGAAAGGAAAGTTTGGTTTGCAGTGCAAATGTGGGTAACTGCACATATACTTGGAACAAAATGTCATTAATGACAAGCAGTATAACATGTTTGTAAGCTCACAGATATGGCTGCCAGAGAAAGATTTCAACATAACAATAAATAGCAAACTTCACAAACTCAGAGTTAAGTTTTAACCAAAGAGATGATGTCATTTAACCAAATGTCTTCCGGTTATTAGCTGGGTGATCTTCAATCACAAGATCAAATAGAAACTGTTTTAGTTACCCGCTGTTTGTTTTTTGTTTTTTGTTTTTTGTTTTTTGCACTGGGCCACTTTTTCTCTTTTTTTTTTTTTTTCTTTTTTTTTTGGAGGGGTGTTGTTTAGTTGTACAAGCAAATAAAAGTATTCTTCTATTCACATGCAAAAGGTTAGATGACTGAAGATAGAAAAAGACAGATAATTTCCCATCATGCCACTAGGTGCGTGTCATTAGTCACCAAAGTTGTTTAAGCAAACTTGGACTTCGAAATGTCATACCTTTACTCACCTTAAATTCAGTATTACTTTTGTCTAGAACTATTTTATATGTGTGAGTACAGCAAAAGTGAATGTTGTTTTTAAATAATTATACCTCTGTTTATGTATATGTATATTTGTGTGTATATATATATATATATATATATATATATATATATATAAATTGTATTTACATTGTAAAGACACCCAGTGCTACTCATTCTGAACAGGATTTTTACAAATGAACAATCCTCTATTTTCATTGCTGTACACAACCATGGTGTTTTTCTAAGAAATCAGTGGTGCTGATGTACATGCTCATGACTGCCACCTTAGTGGACATAGTAAAGCCAATAGACCAAGTTAAAGAAAGTGAATGTAATTGGAAAGACAACGCGGGACCACTTGTCTATGGCATTGACATCTGTGAGGTCAGGGATCTTGACTTTGAGCTGTGAGGCCCTCCTCCTCAAGCGACCTTTTTTATGACCCATTGGCCGGTCAATTGCTGGTCGTCCATACAGGTCTCGGCTCGTCATGGGCTTGCGGTACTGTATGCTGGCGCTGTCATAAGAGAACATTGTAGCCCGAGGGTCATTGAGAGTGCCCATCATATCTGCTCCAGCCATCTCACTGGTTAGGTTGGTCAGAAGGATGTTGCCATGAGCATCAACCTTAGGAAGGAGGTTATCAGATTTCATTAAATTCATTTGGTAACCAAAACTCAAATAGATAGCAAAGTCATTTGTATGTAATGGAGGAATTACATACTCTTTCTCATTCTTTTTCTCATTCCTAACACAACAACTTTTGTCAATTTACTGTCAACACACTAGTTTTAGCCACTGCAAGACAACAGGTCTTATGACCTAGTTAGTTTGACGGCTACTTTTAAAATATCTTTCACATTGAGTACAGTTGAATGATAAATTAAATCTAGTTTTTTTTACTCCTAGGTGGGTGAGTGAAACTTGCTGCCAAATAATGCAGAATGGCTAGGCTTAACCAGCAAAGCAAAAATAGCCAAACACCATTTTAGGGCATTCAAACTACACAAACACTCTCTCCTACCTGTACTTTGTTGCTCTCCAGTCTGCCCTTTTCATTGTTGGACTTGGCAGCCTTTTCTGCCACCTTCTTCTGCAGGTGAGGACCACGACCAAAAAAGATGTAGTTGACAAAGGCATACTCCAGCAAGGCCAGAAAGACAAAGACAAAGCAACCCATGAGGTAAATGTCAATGGCCTTGACATACGGGATCTTGGGTAGTGTCTCTCTAAGGTGAGTATTGATGGTGGTCATGGTCAGCACGGTAGTTATACCTAGAGGCAAAGAGATGTAAAAGGGGACCATGGTTAGAGGGAGTCCATTCAGCAATAACACTTATTGAATGAGAAGAGGGCAGAATTACAAGACAGCCATTAAATACAGTCTATATACAGCATACATCATACACTTTGAAAACAATTCGTGACCATATTTACTGACTTGCACTAATCACATATCTGACCGTAGTAGCTTGAAACTTGGTGCAGTCAAAACAATTCCAATTACCATGACAGTCTAAGTTGTCGTAGTGGCATGACTCTAGGGAAATGTCCAGTAGATAACTGGTTTGTTCTGTCCATACCTCTGGTCCAGAAAGAAATACCCTGACAAATATTGGAAAAATCCCCCTCAGGCTAGACGCTGCATTTGGTGGACACCGAACACTGCACATCATCACAAACACACCATCCCCGCTTTGAAGCAGGGTTCCGGTGTCATGATGTGAAGATGCTTCTCAGCAGCAGGTCTTTTAAGGGCTTATTAGGATAGAGGGTAAAATAAATTGAGTGAAACATGGGGAAATCCTGGAGGACAACTTGATGCAGTCAGCAAGAGAACTATGACTTGGGAGAATATATGCTTTCCAGAAAGGCAATGACTCAAAGCACAAAGTGAAAGAAAATTATCGAAAGACAACAAGGTGAATGTTCTGGAGTTGCAGAGACAGAGCTCAGATCTTCATCCAATTGAAAGTTTGTGACTGAGCTTGAAAAGAGCTGTTTTGCTCATGATCCTTGTGTATCCTGACAGAGCTTGGCAGTTTTTGCAAAGCAGAATGGGGTAAAATTGCAGTTTCCAGATGCGGAAGACTGAACACTGACTTCAATGTCATAAATACTTACACAATTGTTTATTTTATGTTTTATGTTTTTAATGAGGGTGGCCTGGTGGCAGCACTATTGCCTCATAGTACACCTTTTAGATGCTGAAACAATGCAGAATTTCTATCAACTCACCTTACCTCAACAGTTGTTGTCGCCCATCACCTCTCAAGAACAGCATGGATAATAGAACAAAATTCGAATTGCCAACACGGTCCTGAACTCACCAGTCATGCATGTCAAGTCTCCTACACATAGTTTTAAAGCTTGCATCTAACCACTCATTGGGAGGACATTATCACAATAGTGGAAAAGAGTCAGACAATTTAAGATTCTTTGTTCTATGGTAAGGGGAACTGTGACATTTTTATTGATTCATTTTTAATTTAACCTTTATTTAACCAAGTGAATCCCATTGAGATTGACATCTCTTTTGCAAGTATGTACTGTAAATACAGTGCTGTGCAAAAGTCTTAGACAGTTGTGACAAAATGCTGTAAAGTGAGAATGCTTTCAAAAATTTAAAACAATATTGTTTATATTTATCAATTTATAAAATGCAAAGTGAGTTAACAGAAGAAAAACTGAAATTAAATCAATATTTGGTATTCCCGTTCCTTTGCCTTCAAAACAACATCAATTCTTCTAGCTACACCTGCATAGTTTTTGAAGGAACTTCACAGATAGGTTGTTCCAAACATCTTGGAGACCTAACCACAGATCTTCTGTGAATGTAGGTTGCCTCAGATCCTTCTGTCTCTTCATGTTATCCCAGACAGACTCAGTAATGTTGAGATCAGGGCTCTGTGGGTGCCATACCATCGCTTCCAGGACTCCTTGTTCTTCTTTATGCTGAAGATGGTTCCTAATGACATTGGCTACATGTTTGAGATTGTTGTCCTGCTGCAGAATAAACCCGAGGCCAATTAGACATCTCCCTGATGGTATTGCATGATGGATTAAGTATCTGCTTGTGTTTCTCAGCATTGAGGACACTATTAATCCTGACCAAATCTTAAAATTCAACTGCGGAAATGCAGCCCCAAACTTGCAAGGAACCTGTACCATACTTCACTGTTGCCTGCAGACACTCCTTATTGTACCGCTCTCCAGCCTTTTGTCAAACAAACTGTCTACTGCTACAGTCAAATGGTTACAATTTTAACTCCTCAATCCAGGATACCTGCTTCCATTTTTCTGCATCCCAGTTGCTATGTCGTTGTGCATAGTTGAGTTGCTTGACAATGTCATGGCTTTTTCTTCCATTGAGACCACTCCTGGCCAGACAGTAGATGGGTATACCTGGGTCCCATTGATTTCTGCTAGTTCTGAGCTGATGGCAATGTTGGACATATTCAGATTTAGAAGAGAAGTAAACATAATGTGTCTGTCATCACCTGCACTAAGTTTCCTTGACTGACCACTGCGTCTACAGTATTCAATGTCCATTTCTTTATCTTTTCCGACATAGCAACTGGGATGCAGAAAAATGGAAGCAGGTATCCTGGATTGAGGAAAAGAGCCTGAACAGCACATGTTGAAACCCCAATCTGCTGTAAAGTTCTTGCCTGAGAGAGACCTTGCTAATGCAGTATAACTACTTTGTGTCTTACTGCTGTGCTCAGTCTTGCCGTAGTGTATGACCTGTAACATGAAACCATCTTCCACAGCCTCACCTTGGTAGCAGATTTTGGCTGCTCCTCACCCAATTTTAAACCTCTTACACAGCTGTTCACACACTTGCCTATAAGCCTACAAAATCACTTACTGTGTGCTAGTGTAACTAGAAGAATTTATGCTGTTTTGAAGGCAAAGGGTGGGAATACCAAATATTGATTTGATTTAGATTATTTTTTATGTAACTCACTTTGCATTTTGTAAATTGATAAATACAAGCAACTTTTTCGATTTTTTTTTTTTTTTACGCATTCTTGCTTTAAAGCATATCTTCACACTTGCCTAAGACTTTTGCACAGTACTGTATATACAGTAATGGAAAGATTATTACACCACCCTTGTTTTCTTCAATTTCTTGTTCATTTAATGCCTGGTACCACTAAAGGTATATTACCTGAAGAATACAATGAACACGACAAAAAAATGCAGCTGATTACAAAATGTTTTATGTCCTATTTGACACGCTTGAGCTTAATTGTATTTCCAGGGCACATAAGAGGCCATTTCATGTCATAGAGTGGTTTCCCGCTTACATTCAAGCTGTAGCACAACTCAGAAGTTGACAGCTCTCACACAATGCCTCAAACAAAAGAACTATGTGACGCCACAAAGGCAGCCATCTTGGCACTGCTGGAAATTGGCATGAGAGAGAGACAGGTAGCGAAAAACTCAAGATCTCCAAGACACCCGTTCATTACACCAAGAAGAAACAAGCCCAACATGGTGCTACCAAATTGCTAGCTGGTCGCGGTGGGAAACGTCTTTCTACCCCACGAGATGACCGTGCACTCATCTGTTCCTGTGTCAGGAACTATTGTCAAACCTCCAGGGACCTTAAAAATGAGTGGGCACTGTCAAGAAATGTGACTTGTTTGGCAAGGACAGTTGGAAACCGCCTTCTTGAAGCTGGTCTGAAGTCACACAGGGCACAGAAGTCCTTTATCAATGAAAGGCAGGGGAAAGCCTGGTTGCTCTTTGCTGAGGATCACAAGGATTGGACTGTTGATGATTGGGCTAGGGCTCTCTTCAGTGATGAATCTAATTTTCAGTTGATGCCCACTCTCCCAAACCACTACTTCCCATTTCCCAGCAGAGCCTTGTAACAAGCTAAGCAAATAAGCAAAGCAAGCACGGTCAGACAAATAAGACAGGGGTTGCATCTCAAGCACTAGAGACAATTAAGTTAAAAATCCATGGCAGGAACCTAGATCTCCATTATAACGTTTGGGAACCAGAACAAACAGTTCGCTAACTACACATGTGGACAACATTGTGGGTACCCCTCTGTTAATGAAAGAAAAACCCACAATGGTCACAGCAATAACTTGAATCTGACAAAAGTTATAATAAATAAAAATTCTATGAAAATTATCCAATGACAATCAGACATTGCTTTTGAACTGTGGTTTAACAGAATTATTCAAAAAAATAAACTAATGAAACAGGCCTGGACAAAAATGATGGTACCGTTTATATTTTGTTGCACAACCTTTTGAAGGAATCACTGCAATCAAACGATTTCTGTAACTGCCAATGAGACTTCTGCACCTCTCAGCAGGTATTTTGGGCCACTCCTCATGAGCAGACTGCTCCAGTTGTCTCAGGTTTGAAGGGTGCCTTCTCCAGAAGGCATGTTTCAGCTCCTTCCACAGATGTTCAACAGGATTTAGATCAGGGTTCATAGAAGGCCACTTCGGAATAGTCCAATGTTTTCCTCTTAGCCATTCTTGGGTGTTTTTAGCTGTCTGTTTTGGGTCATTGTCCTGTTGCAAGACCCATGACCTGCGACTGAGACCAAGCTTTCTGACACTGGGCAGAACATTTCTCTCTAGAATACTTTGATAGTCTTGACATTTCATTGTACCCTGCATAGATTCAAGACACCCTGTTCCAGATGCAGCAAAGCAGCCCCAGAACATAACAGAGCCTCCTCCATGTTCCACAGTAGGGACAGTGTTCTTTTCTTGATATGCTTCATTTTTGCATCTGTGAACATAGAGTGTTGCCAAAAAGCAACAGGCCTAAGTTACTGACTGTTTGCAGTACAAGCCCTTCTTTATGTCAGGTGGTGAATAGTGATCAGGTGAGTCACAGGTGTCCTCAGTCAGCGGATTATCTAGTTGGCTGTGGAAGGAAATGCACGCACCTCTCTCATGCCCATAGAGAAAAAAGGGAAAAGGTAAAAGTGAAAGGAGGGAACACTGCCAACTAGGTGGTAGCTGAGGGGGGATAATGCCATCCACAGCTTATCCAGCACAATAGATATTGCCGCAGCTAGAAATTGAGCTTGTTCACTTTAATGCAGTTCAGCCAGTGTACCCACTACACCTCCAGGCAACTAAAGCACAACAGCTTGGATATCAGTGCACTCCATTTACAGTAGGTCAGCCAAGTCCTTATTTAGGCCTAAATGTGTTCAGAATTGAAAATGTCTATGTGGGATCAGAGATAAGATGGAAAAACAAGACAATGAAAGTCCAAGGAGGCCACAGACA